TCCTTGAGAAAGCTAAGAAAATTAGTTGGCCCCAAGCCTACACCAGGTTTCTGAACAAGAATGGCATTAGGGCAAAGCTGGTTTAAATCGGTCTAACAAGACACACTCACTAGATCTCCCTTATCTGTGGGAACCATTTTAATCACATCTCTCAAACTTCTCTTAGGCCTTGTATTCATGCAAACTTGAATTCTCATTGAATAGAAAAAGCCTGCCTGTTTCTGCAGTGTCTGTTATAATTAATTTCTTTTGTCAAAACTTGGCAAACACGGCACTCTGGGAGCCATACAGTGGGGTAGGAAAAAATGTCAACTTCTGGGACTCAGACTCTCTAGGCCCAGAGTCAGTCAGGTCTATGCTATGTTGTGAGGTTGCATCCAGTGCTGAGATGCCAGAGCTGTTAGACTTTCAAGTCGTTCTTGCCCTGATCTGGTTCTCTGCATATCAAGCAAGCTTTGATTCCTTAGTTTCTTATTGGCCTTTTTTTTTTTTTTTTTTTCAATTGTCATCTAGGCTACTAATCTGTAGAAATTCCCATCACTGGTCTTAGGTCTGGTTTGCGGGGGTGAGGGGTTCACGGTGCATCTCTGCGCCACAGTAGCCCTTTGGAGGTTTGCAGCAGCGTGTGTTCTTGAAATCTTTTCTTCCCTGCATGAAACGGCTCCAGTTCCTCCAGCCCATCACCTGGAGACCCTCTCCCCTCTGACGCTCAGGAACCAAAGCAGATGTTGTCAAAGCTCTGATCCCCAGTTGATGTGCTCACCTTGTTATACTGTGAGCCTCTGGGAGCTGCAAAAATTGTTCTAGAAAAGACAGTACAAATGAGACTAATTGGCATCCCATCAAAAGCTGCTGTCTGGCCATTCTCCCTTAATAGAAAAAAGGAGAGAAAAATGTGACTGTTTTATACATTACGATTCTGCCCTGTAATACCTTCCCTGCTAACATGTTACTTGCAGTGTCATGGACAGGACTCTTTTCTTTGTCTTTAAATTGTCATATAAACTAGAATAACATTGGTTCTTTTTCTGGTATATGTTTCCTGAACTTTATAAAAATAGTTCATGTTTATAGCATAGCCCACTGTGAAAATTAAAGATCTTTGGTATTCTATAATAAATTATTTGGAGGGAAAAAACACTTAAATTTCAGGACAATTATTGAGCCTCAGAGTTTAGGACTAATAGCCACACTGGAAGCTAGTTTGAAATGCTATTAATGGTTACTTTGGTGTTATATTACCAGGTTCTTTAAATGATCCAATTGATTTTTAGATGATGGAAGAAGATTGAGTGAAATTTTAAAAAGCAGTGTTGTCACTGAGATGGATTTTACAGGGACAAGTAGAGAGCTGAGTTCTGTCTCAGCTCTGTGTCTGGTTTATGATGTGGCCTCAGTAAGTCACTCATCTCTCTGCCTCAGTTTCCTTGTCTACCAAATAAGAGTATCACCCTCAGTAACCTGAGGTTCCTTCACACTCTTAACTATAAGCAGTGATTCTGGACCTTTTCCCCCCAGATTAGACACATACCTGTGAGATCATGTTCCATTCTCAGGAGCTGTCTCATGTGTATGTGTGTGTTGTTGTTGCTTTTATTTTAAGGTAAAAGTATAGATAAAATAGATGTAGCTTATGCATAAGTCCCACCCGCCTTTCACTGCCGTTATTATCACTTTTACATCAAGAACCACAGCTCTGGAGAACTTCGCCACTTGGAAGATTTTTTTAAAATTTAAATGCATCAATTTTAAAAAAATATTCATATACTTCTATTAACAAACTGGGGGGTCCAGTTATATATCCTGACGACTATATTCTTTCTCCCAAATCTGCTATGTAGTTCTACCAAAATGAAAACACAAACATCCCCCTTCAAGAAGTCTTCAGAGAGCAGCACTCCCTTGCTTTCTGGGCATCCGGTCACTCCGAGAAGCTGGACCCCTGTTGTCTGGTGGCTGCCTGTGCTGCAGGCCATGATGGTCTGCAGTGACAAGGTCTGCCCAGGGGCTGAGTGCACAATCACTCCTTGCAATTGGAAAAGGAGAGCTGTTTGGTTTCCTAAGAGAAAAAGAAACAATTGCTCGTATAATGAAGTTTAATTTATCATCTCAAAGCTCCTCTTCATGGCAGTGAGACCCATGTAGATGCCCAGCCAGGCAACCGGGGGCCTGTGCCTGTAGAGGATCCACATTCTCCAGAGCAGTTCTCTTCCTCTGTGCAAGTAGGAAGAACAGCACTCCCTCTGCCTGTCAGGAACAAGGCCGTTAGATCAGGTAGCAGCACCTCCCCCACCACGTGCTCCCACCTTCTGCACAGCAGCCCTCCCAGTCCCTGCGCACTGAAATGGCACCTGCTAGGCTAGAGCATCCCCGTGAAGCTCAGGCACAGATGACAGCGTCCGCTCGCCTGCAGCGCACTCAAGTGTCAGCAGCTGGCAAAGCATGTAAGACAGCCAGTCACATAGAAACATGGGAGCTGTACAGGGGTTAGCACAGCCCATCTGGCCACTTCTGCGGGAAGGGACTCAATGTGAAACTAGAAGATAAGCAAACTTGGACCCCAGACCAGAGGTCTCACCACTGGAAGAAAGGCCTTCAGAAGGTTACAAGGCTTTGTATCAAAGACCCAGAGAGCTATCCTCTGGGGCTCCCCTGTCCCTTGAGATCTGAGTGAGCTCAGCTTCAAATTCCAGTCTGTGGAAATCTGAATTCTTGGCTTCTTGGGGACTTGGGGTCTCTGCCTCAGCTCTTGCTTCTGTCTCTGGTATCTTAGCTTGGCAGTTTAGCAGGTTGATTATGAACAAGCATCTGTGAGCATGATAGACACAAACAAAAAGTTGGTGCTATTAGGAGAATCACATTTCCTATCCCATAATGGTCTAGTTGACAGACCATATGAGACTTTCCTGTTCTCTTAGCCTTATGCTCTAGGACCAGCAGCACCTGCAGAACCTGCTGCTTGTTAGAAATGCAGGAGTTTGCGCCCCGCCCGACTTGCTAGCTCAGAATCGAGATTTCGGCAGGATATCAGGAGGAGGAGCACAGGTCTAGTCCTTTTCTGTCACCTCACCACAGGCCCTGGCCCTTGCTCTGTGCATACCCAGCCTCTCATCTTCTCTCTCTTCCTCCTCCTTCCCTCTCTCTTGTTCTCTCATCTCCTCCCTCCCTGTCAGGAGCTACAAACAAACTCTCTGTGTCATGACAGAGCAGGCCTCTTCCCTGGAGCCTCAGAGCCAGTCACCACGTGGCCCCGAAGATCTCATCTTACCAGCCCTCAATCCTGATCCCAACCTTAATCAAGTGTTTGTCTAAACCAGGTCCCCTTCTGAGAGGGACTTGCACACCAGCTACTCCGAGAAGAGAAATCTTTCCACCTCATTACAAAACATATCACGGATTTTATAAATATACTTTGTTTCCAAACAGACCCCTAAATCAGGTCAGGATTACAAGCTGTCATGTAAGTGCAGACCTGGAGGAGCTGAGTCTTCCACAGGACGGTGACTCACTCAAGGTCATATTGTGGCTATTGGCAGAGGCAGGACCAGAAAAGGTCTTACACTTCCCGGGCAGGCTTCTCTCCCCTAATCATTCTCCTTTTAACTGATCCTTCAAATGGCTACCAGATTCTCTTCCTGAGCAGGAATTGAATCACCGAGCAGACAAATATACATTGGATGCCTGCTGAGAATAGCAAGCACTGTTCAAAGATCAGAAGAGGCAACACGGGCCCGGTTTCCCAATCGACTTTGCCCCAACTGCTCCCTCGGACTGAAATCCTCACTCATTCCCACCGTCTGCCTGGCAGACTCCTACACATCTTTGAGAATCAACATTTGGGACCTTCCTCTGTGAAAGCACACTATTATAACATTTCTTCCCCTGTGCATTGTCTTGGTTTTCCTAGCTGCTCCCTCTGAGTAGAAGGGTCCTCAAGGGAGGGCTGAACTCTGCGCTCCTCATTACTGTCTCATCGGTGCCCTGCACAGGACAGGCTCGGAGAATGTACTTTCCTTCCTCCTCTCTCTTCCTTGGAAATTCCTACAAATTAATGGTGCCTGTCAAACAAATCCTGTTCTTAACTCAGCCCCTTTATCTTCAAGCACTTTGCCCCTTTTGGGACCTGGGCTGCTTCAAACCACCTGCCTCCCACTACTGCTCATTTCTAGACTCATCTCCCCTGGCTCGCCCCTCTATCCTGTTGCTATCCAAAGGGTCCAGCTTAGCCACCAGCTACTGGTACATGACTCTTTTTGGGCGCTATTTTATTATGATTATGATTATTAAATTTATTGAGGGAATATTGCTTAATAACTATATAAATTTCAGTTGTACATTGTAATTCAGTGTCCACTGCATTGCTCACCATCAAAAATTTAGTTTCTTTCCATTACCATATATTTGACCCCTTTCTCACAGAAGAGCAGAGATATTCATAAAAGAAACCAGTGAGCTTCTGGACATTGGTCTCAGAGGTGATTTTGTGAATTTGACTCCAAAGACTTTTTAAGAATCATCCCATCTTGTGGGCCTCGTCAGCAAAAGAGTAGGTTTGAGTCATTAGCTAGAGCTCTCAATGGCAAGGTTACAATTCACAAGTGTGTTATGATCAGTGTGAGGTGCTTTGAAATTTTTTTGTGTGATCATTAAGGTCTGCCAGTGGTCATTTTGATAGAGAAAATTAAAGGTTATCTTACGATTGTCATTCTCAGTTGTGTTCTGATGCACTTTCTGGAACAGGAAAAAGGCTTGGGACACACACCTAGGGATCATTCCCTGGTTGTCTGTCATGTGTGTCTCAACAGGCTGACCTACAAGATTCTTTTCAGCTCCATCATCTTATGAGCTATAAAGCTCAGAGAAAAGACTGCTCTTAAAAATGTGAATCTCTAAGTCCCTCCTGTGATATGGTATCTCCTCTTAGAATTTAAATCTCACTCAGGAACCCTTGTGTGGGTAACCATTAATTTTTTTCCTCTTCCTCTTTGGCTTTGCTTCAGGAAGCGAGAGGAAGAAAACAAGCGAAGAGAGTCAGAACAGCAGAAGGGAAGGCTGAGTCCAGATTCCTGCAGGCCCCAGGCCCCTCCGTGCCTGCCCAGCACCCAGGCTGAGCTCCACAGGCAGAGCGGGGGCCCCAGCAAACAGCCTCGCACCAGCCATGTGGCCCAGAGCCCTGATCAGAGAACCTGCAGAGGGTCTCCGGGCAGAGCCCCCCGGGAGCAGCACCTCTCCCCAGACTTGCAGGGAACAGACCCCCGAAAGCCAAATGGTAGGTGTATTGCCTTTGTTATCCAATGCCGACCTGTGGACTGTGGGCCCTTTTATAGGTGAACATAGACCATTTACATTTAATGTACTTATGTCAGCACTTAAGCCTGCTATTTTATTATTTATTTTCTATTTATTTCTCCAGTTCTCATTCCTTTTTCTCTTTTTTCCCCCCTTCCTGTGGGTTACTCAGACTTCCCTTAGGATTCCATCTTGATTGATCTCTCTAGTTTCTGCAACAGTTGCTCCGAATATCATAATATACATTAGTGACATTACAGTCTTTGGTATCAGCATCTTACCATTGAATGAAGTGTGGGAACCTCACTTCCATTTAGGTGCCTGTACCTTCCCCACCTTTAAATGTCTTTGCCTGGAATCAAATGGTTTTGTAGTTTTTGTTTCAATCATGAAATATAATTTATAAAAGGAGGAAAAGGATAGTCTATTTTATGCACCCATATGTTTTTTTCTGTTGTTTTGTTTTTCTTCCTGGTGCTCCAAATTCCTTCTCTTACCATTTCCTTTGTTTGAATAACTTTCTTTAGCCAATTTAAAGGTGGGTCTGCTGGCAACAAATCTTTTGAGTTTGCCTTTGAGAATGTTTTTATTTCACTCCTGAAGAATGATTCAACCAGATACAAACCATGGTTGGCACTTCCTTGAGCGCTTGACAATGTGCCCCTTCCTTCTGCCTTCTGTGGTTTCAAATTGGTGTTCCTCGGGAATGTTCCTGGTAACAGGTCATTTCTCTCTGGCTGCTTTCGAGATTTTCCCTTTATCTTTACTTATCAAGAGTTTAGTAGGATGTTTCTTGGCCTTGGGTTTTGGAGCTTATCCTGTTTGGAGTTTGTTGAGTTTGTTGGGGTGCACAGGACCACCCCTAGGTTCAATAATTTTCTAGGAGGGCACACAAGATTCAGCATATAGTTGTGCACATGGCTGTGATTTATTATAACAAAAGGGTACAAAGCAAAATCAGCAAAGAGAGCGAAGTCTGGAGGAAACCAGTGCAACTTCCAAGAGCCCTTCCCCAGAGAAGTCACACAGGATACACTTACTTCCACCAGCAATGAGTTGTGACAACCAGTTAGGCACCATTTTCCACCAGGGAAGCAACCTAACCTAGGACTCCAAGATTCTTATCAGGGCCAGTCATGTAGGTACCCTCTGCTTAGCATGCACCAGAACCCAGACTCCCAGAAGGAAAGCAGGTATTCAGCATAAATTAGATTATTTTCACAAAGCAATGTAAGCACATTGAGCCATTCTATGGTGCAGAGATCTAAGTGCAGATAACAACAAAGTGAAAAAGACAAATAATGTCTTGGTGTTATTATGAAAATAGTTTTGACCTTGTGGACCCCCAGAAAGGGTCTCTGGAATCTTGTGGTCACCTCGTTCAGGGCTTGGACAATAAAATCTGTCTCTCTAAACCTCCATTTTCTTAGCTGTAAAATGGGGGTTCACTCTCCACCCTGCAGGGCAGTTATGAATAGAAATAAAAATGCGGAGTACTTGTTCAGACCATGACCCATAACAGTAACTACTATCATTAAGCCACACCACTGACCTAGCCAAGAATAATGACATGAAAGTAAACATGGAACCACAAACATTTCCAGCCTATCATTCCATAACCCACAGTGCATTAGTGATGCACACCTTACAGAGGTGGTGAGCTGTGTTGTATGTTCATTCATTTATTCATTCAGTCACCATTTACTAAACTCCATGATGTGACAGCCAGATTGACTTTCCTCAAGGTCTTTCTTAGCTTGGGGCCTTTGCATGTAACAGCTGTGTCTAAAAGCTGTACCGTTTTAAATTAGCATTTAAATTTACAACATCCTACACCAGAGCAGTCCATGTGTAACTATAGATGAACTGAGATGATACAAAGCTGGACTTCAGTCCCAGCAAGGGTCAGCTTACCACCAGTTCCACTATCTCCTAAGACAGACCCTTTCATGGTCACAAAGAAGATGCTTCTCGGCTGGTTCTGATCCTCCAAACCGCCTCAGGGCCGATTCCTCTGGGGATATGTACCTCCAAATGCCTCACTCATCTCTGCTGGTGTCCTGATTCTCTGGAGCTTGTCGCAGTTATTTCTGCCTGCTCTTTGATGCCTTCCAACAGGTGGTTTGTAAGTGTTGGTGAGAATATGGATAAAGGAAATCCTTGTGCACTGTTGGTGGGACTGTAAATTAGTACAGCCACTGTGGAAAACAGTATAGAAGTTTCCAAAAAAATTAAAAATAGAAGTACCATATGGCCCAGCAATTTCCACTTCTGGCCATTTATCTCAAGAAACACAAAACACTAATACAGAAAGACATATGCACCCCTATGTTCATTGCAGCATTATTTACAGTAGCCAAGATATAGAAACAACCTAAGTGTCCAACAACAGACAAATGGATAGAGAAGATGTGGTACGTATGTACAATGGAATATTACTCGGCCATAGAAAAGGATGGAACCTTGCCATTGAGACAGCATGGATGGACCTAGAGGGAATTATGCTAAATCAAATAAGTCAGACAGAGAAAGACAAATACCATATGATTTTATTTATATTTGAAACCTAAAAACATTAATAAATGAAAAACAAAACAGAAACAAACTCAAAGACACAGAGAACATTTTGATGGTTGCCAGATGGGAGGGGGGTTAAGAGTGTAGGCAAAAAAAGGAAAGGGATTAAGAAGTACAAATTGTCAATTATAAAAAGTCACAGAGATGTAAAGTGCAGCATAGGGAATATAGTCAATAATACTGTAATAACTATATGTGGTGTCAGATGGGCACTAGACTTACCAGGGTGATTACTTTGTAAGTTATCTAAAACAACTAATCACTCTGTTTTATACCTAAAACCAATACAATATTGTATGTCAACTATAATTGAAATTTTAAAAATTATTTTAAAAAATAGGTGATTTGTAATATTTTGTTCAACTTTTCTGCTGTCCTCAATGGTGGGTTTCCCTCAGTCCTGGCAATATAGGAGCAGAAGTCCCTTCCTTGCTTTTTACGTTAAGACTAAAATTTCCATTTTAGGTGTTCTATTTAGTTCTTTTGAAATATATCTGTTCTTTTCTCATATTTTAAATTTCTTTTGTTTAATCATTGTTCTCTCAGCCTTAGTTCTCACTGATCTAAATTTGCTTTGTATCTGCTACTGTCACTCATGGCAGCTTGTTTCCTCATGCATTCTTTAATTTTGGATTGTGAAATTATCAGAAGGACCCCTGTGCAGCCTGAGCTGAGGGCATGCCACACCAAAGGAATAATGTGTTTGCTGCTATGAATCATTTGTTTCTATGGTATCACCATTGTGAGACCAGTTTTTCTATTAATTTTTTCTATTGGTTGAAAATAAGTGAATACCAAACCCATGTGAGGCCCAGGACTTTGGTGTCAAATTCTCATGAGACACTTTCCCCCACCCAGAACCGAGGCCAGACAAGCTTCCTGGCACCTCCCAGTGCTGGCTAGCAGACCTCTTGTATGGGGTGTTATTTCCCAGCGGGATGCACATCAAGAATCCCAGCTTCAAGCAGGGTCCTGGTTTTAGTTAACTTTCTGCCTGAGCTTATCTTGATGTTAAAACATAACCAGATATTTAATAAGACCAATGCTGCCCACTCCACCCCTACCGCCTGCCTAAGCCAGCTCACACACCACTCTGCGTTTCAGGTTTCTCTCTGTTTTTGGCTCCCAGAGATTACCTTTATTTTCTTGAAGGCACTATGGTGCTTTTAAAAGGATGTTTCCTCTATTTTAATCAGCATTTCTAGGTACTTGTAGTGGGAAGGCTTTCAGGTTATCAAATTACTCTTGCTAGAAATAGAAGTTAACCTTTTCACTAATCATAATCACCACTATCAAGGTAATGCTATAGGAAGGGTCTGAATATTTTATGTACATAAATGGGCAGACTTGCCCCACTATACAAGCTTTGAACCATAAATGTTGTTAACCCTTTTCCTTGTTTTCCCAAGAAATGTCCAGAGAACCTTCTAAAGGCCGATCTGCCTGTGTCCACTTCAGCCCCGATGAAGGCAACGATGGGAACAGGTGTCCAGGAGTCTCCTCTGTGGAGAAGTCCAGAGGTGAGACAGTGGGTGAGCAGCACTGTGACAAGGGGAAGGGCGTCGTGAGGCAGCCCTCCTGTGTCAGGGCAGCTGGGCCCGAGGAGAAGGGAGAGGACCCCGGCGGGGCAGCAGCCAGCCTTCCCCAGCAGGACGGCCACCGGAAGCCCAGCAGGCGACATGACGCAGCCCCCAAGGTCAAGTGTGCCTCCCAGAAAAGGCGCATTCAGGAGCTCCGAGGAGGAAGGTGCTCCCCTGCTGGTTCTAGCCGGCCTGGCAGTGCCAAGGGGGAGGTGGTCCATGCAGGGCAGAGTCCTCTCCACCATCGGACACCAAGACACAAAGGGATACAGGACAAGCTCGAAGGAGAGAGCCACTCAGATCTGCCCCGGAGGACAGAGGTGTTGAGGCCAGGAGTCAGGAAGGCAGGGCCATCCACCCCGTTGGAGGACGCTCAGACACCAAAGGAGCCGGATCCAGCTCCCGGGCCCCTCTCTGGGCAGAGTGTGAATATCGACCTTCTCCCTGTCGAGCTGCGGCTGCAGATCATCCAGAGAGAAAGAAGCAGGAAAGAGCTGTTTCGCAAAAAGAACCAGGCGGCAGCAGTCATCCAGCGCGCCTGGAGGAGGTGAGGAGACGCCTGTGGTTGCCCCACACCCTACAACACCCATGCTCACCGGTGTTCTCCCGTGAATCTGTGTGCTGGCGGGACAAGGCCGATTGTTGAGCCAACCCGTGAAATTCACACGTGTAGACCCTAGTCTGGATATTTAGTTCTTTTAGTCCTTTCACACTGGATATGCTATTTAGGTGTTTTTGCCAAGAAAGGTAGGAAAGCACCTAGGATTACCTGGTGTAAAGAAGAATCCCCAGGGAAGCTCTAACAGGTGATCTGACCTTGGGCAAATCACTTGGCCTCCCTGACCCTCAGTTTCCTCATCTGAAAAATGGAATTTAACAGTGGTTGCACCTGTCCTGTTATATGATTGTAGAGTGAGATAATGTGTGCTTCATAAATTCTAAAGCCACACACACAGGTATTTTATTTTTCTTCTTTTTATGTCTTTACTATTCAGGAATTAGTTATACGTCAAATACCTAAACTAGGGCCTGGATATAGTCGATTCAGTGGCTGAAATTATAAAAACCTATGTTAGCATCTCGCAAGCTCAGAATGCAGGGTGGGTGCTGGGAGCACCGGTGGAGACTTCCTAAAATGCTGAGTCAGATACCTCCAGGGAGTCCTTTGCTGCAGGTTTTGACATATTTTGGACTCTCCTTCATATTGCAGGCCCCACTGGGACCCAAACCCTGCCTAGGTCTTACAGTGCTGGCCAGTGCCCAGGGGAGGGCTGGACCGTCTCCCACAGGTGGGAGACATGTGGCCTCCCTCTCCAGAGAGAGGAAGGTTGATGGAGGAACAAAGCAAGCAAATCACTGTGAGCACAGGTGTGCCACATATCAACGTGCCTGTCAGGAGATAAAAGGGCCCCAGCGCACCTACCCACCTACCGTTGGCAGAGGGAGGGCGGGGGCAGGGAGTGGAATGGAACGGGACGGGAATGGGAACGGGATGGGGGAAGCGTACTGAGGGAGAGCAGTTGTGAGGTTCAGGCAGGGAGAAGCCTCAGGGTCTATTGTGCCAAAGCGGCCTAACCCAGAGCCCTTGCTTGCACAGCCTTTGCTGTAATTCGGCCTTAATGTCTGCCCAAGCTCTGGGCTGTTTACAGGGTCGTCTCCCAGCCACACCAGGGCTGAGCGTCCCCATTTTCCAGATGAGCATATGGTCTTAGGAAATAGCTTGTCCAGGGCGGGTACAGCACTTGGGGCTGTGTCTGACTCAAGGCCAAGGGCCTTTCCCTTACTTTCCCGGGAAAGGTAGAGTTTGCGTGGTCACAATAAAGAAGGCGGAGGCAGGCCTCGTGCTCGGCATCTCAGAGCAGGCCGGAGAAGGCTGCCGGCGGTGCTCACACTCGCCAAGGTCGTGTCCTCACAGGGGATGTTGTTATTGTTGTTAGTCCTAGCCCTTGGCATTTAGCGGGCACTTGTGCCAGACCCTGTGCTGAGCTTTACCTGCATGTTAGCTCACTTCGTCTTCAATATATGCTGAGGTGGATCCTCTCCCATCCCCTTTCCACAGAGGAGGACACTGAGCACAGCCAGGTTCCCAGCCCGTCTCAGGGCTTCAGGTGCCCGCGCCGGCTCAGGCTCAGTCTGCCTCTGAAGCCACAGGTGGGAGTGGGCCTTGCTCCCCTCCTTGGGAGCTCTGCCAGGACCTGCCCTGCTGCCATCTGAGAGGCACGTTTTATTAGGTATTTCAGCTGAAACTGGGATCAAAACAAGCCAGCGAGGTTTACACCACGCGGTGCCCTCAGCTGCTCCCCTGCTGACGTGCCTCTCTCAGACTGGCCTCTGGCTCCTTTGAAGAGTCGGAAGCTGACAGGTCCTGTCAGTAAGTGTCCACAGCAGCAAATGAGCTTTCATCGCCCCAAGAACAATGGGCGCATAGTCTGGACCCCCTGGGGAGGCAGTTACACAGCCCTCCGGGCGCCACTGTGCAGCCTGAGGCCTGGGGCATCAGCTCCCACAGGCTCCTGGGAAGGTGCAGGCTGGGGGAAGCCGCATGTCTGACAGTGAAAACACTCCCCCTGATTCTGGCGTAGCCTTACATACCTTTCATGGTAAGGACAGGAGCCCCAAGTGCTGTCCTGGGGCACTGGGTGGTGCCGCCTGACCTCAGCCCTGTGGGGGGACCGGGAACAGGGCTGGCACCTAGGCTGATGGTATGGGGGGCGGTGTGGAGGGAGAGAGGCAGGCAGCAGCGGGTGCTGGGATGGGGTGAGCAGGTTGAACCTCAGGGCCCGGAGGAAATGAAGCTTCTTCTCCGTGAGTTTTATTGCCAGTCAAGCCTTGACTGTCTTAAAGATTGAAACCAGATACTGGACAAGCTAAGCTGGGCTGGAAAGTTGCTGTGTAAAACACTCCTTTTTACGTCAACATGTGTAAGGCACCTTTCTGTCAGCTCTGCCAGCGTGTGCTGAGCTCCTATCCAGCAAGGGCAGGTGGGCCAGGAGAGCCCTGAGCCTGGGGCTGAAAGGAGTGGGCATGTTCGGTTTCTCAGCCAACCGGCGTGCACGTTCTCCTTGAGAATGGGACCACTGGGGCCAGGGGCACAGCTCAGGCTCCATCCAGAGTAGATTGGGGGAAGCTGTGCCCACTGAAGGCCGGAGCCCCTGCCGCTTCAGCCAGCACCTGGGCTTCCCCGGAGCCCTCTGCCCGGAGCACAGAGGGTGTGGAAGACACTCGGCATCTCAAACAGAAGGAACCGAACTACTGGTGCTGTCCCGTAGCTCCAGCTTTTCTCTGCAGCTGGCTTTTCGGAAGTGTGTGCATCCTGTGGTAGAGGGATGCACGGTTTGTCACTCCAGGTAAAGAAAGACAGACCTGTAGTTTGACTGAAATCAGCCTTTTAGGGCAGGAGCGGGGGGCTGCACCAGGTGCCGCAAGGAGCTTTTAGGAGACTTGGGAAGGCTCTTTCCCACTTGGTGTGCCTTGAAATCAGGCACGGAGCCTGCTGCCTCTGTAGCACCCCGTGGGCTCAGCAGGAGTAGTTAGTCAGCTACAGAGAAGGAAGACAGCAGCTTTCCCTGCAAGGCTCCAAAGCAGCTGTGTTCAACCTGAGGTTTGGGAGCGCACGTGGAGGAACACCATCAGATAACACGAGACGTCAACATAGCCATCACCTGCATGCCCCAGCCTCACCCCAGGCGCTACCCATCTTAGTAAAATACAGCTCTTACCTGTGCCACTGTTCTTAAGAACCAGTGTGGGTCCCCACCAGGAACAGAGTACAGGCCAAAGTCCTCAGCCACGTTTAGCTGTTGGACCACAGAGCAGTGAGTTTGAATGTTGGTCTCTCCTGACTCTAGCTGTGCGGCCTTCTACCAATTACTCAGCTTCCCCACCCCAGTTTGAGAGACATAATTGACATACAGCACTCCGTAAGTCAGAGGTTCTCAACCTGTGGGTCGCGACCCCTTTGGTGGTCAAACAACCCTTTCCCAGGGGTCGCCTAAGACCATCCTGCATATCAGATATTTACATTACGATTCATAACAGTAGCAACATTACAGTTATGAAGTAGCAACGAAAATAATTTTACGGTTGGGTCACAACATGAGGAACTGTATTTAAAGGGCCAGAAGGTTGAGAACCACTGGGGTAAAGCATAGTGACTCAACTTACATATACTGTGAAATGATTACCATAGTAATGTTACATCTATCACCTCATTTTTTTTAAATGGAAAAAGACTTTATTTCCTTGTGATGAGAACTGTGAGGATTTACTCTCTTCACAACTTTCATACATTCCATAAAGCAGTGTGACACATTACAACCTCAGTATTTATTTATCTTATAACTGGAAATTTGTACATTTTGACCATCTTCACCCAAGTTCCCCTCCCTCCACCCCCTTCCTCTGATAGCCACAAATCTGATCTCTTTTTCTATGAGTTTGATTGTCTTTGGTTTATTTTTAACCCTGCACAAATGAGATAATATAGTATTTGTCTTTCTCTGATTTATTTCACTTAGCTTAATGCCCTTCAGTTTCATGCATGTTGTTGCAAATGGCAGGATTTCCTCTTTTTTATACCTGAATAATATATCACAACTTTTTCTTCACTCATGTGTCAGTGGACAGTTGGGTTATTTCCATCACCTGACTGTTGTAATGCTGCTATGAACTTGGGGGTGAAGATACCTCTCCAACATGCTACATACTTTCATTTCCTTAGTTATATGCCCAGGTATGGGACTGCAAATCACATGGTAGCTCTATTTTTATCTTTTGGAGGAATCTCCATATTGTTTTCTATAGATAGTGGTTGTACCAATTTATAATCCTACCCACAGTGCACGAGGGTTCCCTTTCTTCCACATCCTCACCAGCATTCATCTCTTGTCTTTTTTATTCCTTTTTTTTTTTTTGTCTGATTGCTGTGGCTAGGACTTCCAGTACTATGTTGAATAGTAGTGAGAGTAGGCATCCTTGTCTTGTTCCTGATATTAAAGGACATTTTTTCATTCTTTCAACATTGAGTGTGACGTTAACTATGGGCTTCTCATATATGGTCTTTATGATGTTGAGGTCCATTTCTTCTATACCTGATTTGTTAAGGGATTTTATCATACAGATATTCAATTCTATCAAATGCTTTGCATCTTTTGTGATGATATTTTTTCTTTTATTCTATTAATGTGATGTTTCACATTGATAGATTTATGTATGTTGAACCATCCTGCATCCCAGGGATAAATCCCATTTGACCAGGAGGAATGATCCCTTTAATGTACTGCTGAATTTGGTTTGCTGCTATTTTTTGAGAATTTTTTTTATCTGTATTCATCAGGGATATTGGCTTCTTGTAGTTTCCTTTTTTTTGGATTTGATGTCAGGGTAATACTGGCCTCATGAAGTGAATTTGGGACTATTCCCGCCTCTGTGAACTTTTGGAAGAGTTTGAGAAGGATTGGCATAAATTATTGTTTAAATGTTTAGTAGTAAAATTCATCAGTGAAGCCGAAACCGGTTTGGCTCAGTGGATAGAGCGTCGGCCTGCGG